CCCAGGGAATACGAGGCAGGACTAATATACTTTATACATGCATAAATAGTCTGTGTTATTTTTTCCTACACACACGTATGTACAAAAACAGTCTTTGCCAGTGTTGTTTCTGCTTTATTGTAAGTGCTTCTAGAAAAAATTATATTGAGATAAACTATTACACATGTCTTTGTTACTTCAAATTATATATAGTTTCCCATTTATCCTCTTCATGCCTTTTGGACGTGTAGTATTTCAAATAGGTTACTATATTTCTGCAGTCTCAGAGTGTATTTTTCTGTTACTACTTAATGAGTAACTGATAGAATCAGCTCAGCAGAGCAGGAGGGTCTATGCATCTGTTATTTGGCATAGTTGATAAATGCTGGGGAAGATGCAGTGTTGTTTAAATAGATGTCTCAGTCAAATTGTTAAACTTCAAGAATAAACTTTGTATTCAAAAGCAGAATACTTGTTCTCATTCTCAGGATTGCTTTGGTACTGTCACCCTGCAACTGGCACTCCTGATGTGCCAACCTTCTCTGCTGTACGCATGCAGAGTCTACTGTGGCAGGCATTCTGAGGGTGTGAGACTTAACAGATAGGTTGGGTTCTCATATGATAATGCAATATTAATTTAAAGAAAAAAAATTAGAGGTTTGTAAACTTCTTCAGAAAAAGAAACTAGAGTATTTTCAGTCTGTTTGCTGGTAATTGTTCATTGGATGTGACCAAAATGGGCTTCATTTCTTCTTCCCCCGCCCCCTGAACTGTCAACTTCTGAGGATGTAATTTGCTGCCTTTTTTTTTTTTTACCGCAGCAAGCCTTCATAGCTGAAAGTAAGTTAAGTTTACTGCAAAGCTGTCTGCAAAATCTAGTCACTGTAAACTACCTTTGGCACAAGAGTAATGGTAACAAATCTTTGTTTAGCTCTTGACTGACACTTCTGATGGCTAATACAAAACATGGTGTTGAATGTAAATGGATGCTCTACTAAGCTACTACCATCCCTTGTTGGCCCAGAATAGAATACAAAGAACTTGCCCTTTTATGTGTTGAGTCTGCTTAATGACCATAGTTCCTTGAAGTAGTACTCGCTTGTTCAATCAATCTGTAGCAAGTATGCTAGACTTAGCGAACTACAGTGGTTTTTTTTTCAAAATGCTGAGCTAGCTTTTTTCCAACTGCAGCTTAGGATAAAGCTAACACTGAGTCAGGGTCTGCAGAGATAAAGGCTGCGACTACCATACTGTTTTCTTTTTTCCATTTCTTAAAGCACGCTTCCCCTCCCCAAAGCAGTAAAGATGATACTTTAAAATCATATGAAGTCCACCAACTGTTAGTGAACTGCCCTCATCTACCACTTTGTGCAGTTAGGATACTGGCATTTATTGTTAATGACCTCAGGTCTTAATGTGGGAGTGGAAAACTTATGTTCAGATGAGTAAGAAAAATGCTTGCATGTAAGGTACAGCTGGCTTTGAGAAAAAGCAGGTGCAAACCTGCTTATAGAGACTGGTATGGTATGAAGTCAGATAGTACAATGATTTGACACCAGGTGAGAGACCGGTATGGTATGAAGTCACATAGTACAATGATTTGACACCAGGTGAGAGACTGGTATGGTATGAAGTCAGATAGTACAATGATTTGACACCAGGTGAAGTTTGGGAAGTAACTAGTTAAACAGTACCTTACTTCCCTGTGAAGGAAATTGAGAGTAATGGTCCAGAAAAGCCTTTAATATATTGTAGTGTTAATTCTTATCTAACGGTTTTGCCTTCAGCAATGACTTAGTTTCATATTGAAGAGAAATAGAAGAACAGTAACTCTATAATATGACCTCTGATTTCTCAAGCTGTAATTACCCTTTCTCTCTCTTCTGTTCAGCCAAAACAGAGTGGAATATGAAAAGAGGGTTCGAGCACAAGCCAAGAAGTTTGCACCATCATAAGCTTCTGTCATGCAGCATCTTAAAAAGGAAGGGATTGGTTTGGCAAGAACTTGTTTACAAAACTTTTGCAAAATCTAATGTTGCTATGTACAATTAATATCCACTTAGGGGAGGGGGTTGTATGTGTGCCATTTTCCATATTCGCCACTTGTATACAGTTCTAAATTTGCTGAATTGCCCCCAGTTTTTTCATACAGGGTCTCTTCCTTCAGTCTTTTGTATTTTTGATTGTTATGTAAAACTTGCTTTTATTTTAATATTGATGTCAGTATTTCAACTGCTGTAAAATTATAAACTTTTATACTTCTATAAATTCACTAGTATCTCTAGTTACTTTGCTATCTGATGCAGGCATGCTTTAAAATGTTAGAACTATATTTAGCCTCTAGCTGGCTGTATGAAAAAAAATCATGCCCTCCACCCCCTTCCCTCCCTGAATTTGTTTTTCTATCTTTCAGAAACTAGGTTGTTATTGCTTAAGAGCCTCTGAGATCCAAAGTCAGCCAGCATCCTTATTCTGCATCACTTCCTTTGTGTTTATATGGCGTTCTGTCTGTGTTGCTGTTTAGAGTAAATAAACTGTTTATATAAAGGGCTTTGTTTCATTATCTTCATTAAAATGATTAAAAAGCTGCCATTTAAATGGCTCTGAACACAATTCAGTGCAAGTCCTGTTTTTAAGGCCTGTGATGCTGCACTTACCTTTAGTTTAGATGTTGCCTTCATTTCTTTTCCCTGTCCTGACCCCAAGGTGAATGTGGCCCTTCTTTGGGCTTGTGGTAATTGCAGCTATTCAACTTTGATGGGTTCCTTAAACAGCTCTGACTAGCCAGAGACCAACTGCTTACTCTGCATAATGGCACCAACATACAGGTGTGACCATGTTAACATAAAATAACACAAGTGTTAGACTGATATGAACAATAATAGAACCTCCCCAAGGAATGCAAGGGGACCTCCAGCAACTGAGGATTTTAAATGGTACTTGTTTATTAGAAATACTTCTGTGCCTTCTTCCATATGTCAATGTATATAGCTTTTAGGAAAAGGACATACTCTATGCAATTACAGTTTCCTTCTGTAAAGGAAATAAGTTAAATTATGTAAGTTATTTTCATGTATGTCAAGCTGATATGCCCTCTATTAAACTTTCACTGCTTTTTTATTGTATTTTTTTAGTCAAAATCATTCTGGAAACAAATGAAGTGTGAAAAGCTTTGTTCCATCTAAGCTGTAGCTTCTTCAGTGCTTTCGTTATTAAAAAATGGCTACTGCTAGAGACTTAAGTTATTCAAGTGTGATACAGCTCTGTTCTCAGATCTGTTCTGCTTGTCTGCATTTGATTATGATAGCTTTATAACATAAAAGCATTCCCCCAAATTAGAATAGCTAACACTCTCACATTATTCTCAGTCCTTTAAATTTTTTTTGTGTAGGATTGCTTTCTTGTCACCATCTAGAAATCCTTGTTACAACAGCTGATTTGGGAAAGACTTCATATGCTTGGGATGGGAAAGTGAGTAATTGAGAAACTGAGTTAAAGGAAAAGATTCCCCATCAAATTCATTTACTTAGGCTTCTTTTTTAAAGGAAAATGGAATGTTTGTACCACTAAAACTGCTGCCTGTGACTCCCAATTCCAGCTCCAGTAGAGGTAGCATTTAATCTCTAGTGGAAGAGGGCTAAGAGGTAAAAAATCTTGCTGTGACTTGAAGAACTTGTATCTATGAAGGTAACACTATGACTTGTCCTCAGTATCTCCAATTTTACTGAAGAGTTGCTGCAGTTTAAGTAAGTTCCAGTTGGGTGCTGGAAACTCAGAGTATTCTATTTAAATGGCCAGAAAACAGCTTCACTTTCACTGTACAAACTGGCAGGCACATGGAAAAGTGAAGTAAGATGCTAGTGTAGACTCAAACCTTTAAGGGCCAGACAATGTGTATTGGACTTGGTAAAGTGCTGCTTCAAGAAATGAGAATGCAGGCAGATAGAACTGCTAAATCCATTGGCTGAAACTTCATGGTACAGTTCTGAATATAAAGTGCCAAAACATTGTATGCTGCTTAGGTCTGTCTATCAGAGTAAATAAAAAATAGCATGTAAAGTTACTGAAAAGACATACTGAGATGTTAATGCAGTTCCAGGAAGCACTTTTTCCTTTTAAGCTTTGGTAGTCAGCCTGCCTTAAACTAGATGACGGAGTTGAAATACATGTGGCAGGTTTAAGCCTGCAAAAAAGTCAGAGGCTCCTTATGTGGTGGGTACTGTGAGCAGGGCAGTAACTCAGTCATGCTTACTGGCCGAAATATAGCCCAGAAGTTAGAAGGGTTTACTTAATGTACTATTAGGTAAAAATAATCCCTATAAGCCACTTTCCAGGTGATGTCTATTGATTAGAATACATTTTTTATCTTGTAACTAAGCTTCAGGTTCTTTACATAATAATTAGCATTACGTAAGGCTGTAAGTTACTTAGGTTTTAGATGACTGTTTTATGTGCATAAATAGACCTATAAACCCACATCAGCCTGAGATTCACCTAAAGGAAGGCATTTTCTAAGCACCAAGTTACAGGTGAACAAGCCACACTCTTAACTGTTCACAAGAAAATTTCTTTATACAAGATGTTACAACTTCTTGGGATTGTTGATGTTCTTGTCATATGTAGGGGGGTTTTGTTGGTTTGTTTTTTTTTTTTTTTTACTTTTCAAATAGTTGATTTATTGGCTGTTGTTGCGGCAGCTTAACAGTACCATCATCTTCTGGACTGCTCTCATCACTGCTTTCAGTGGCATCATCTGGAGTGCTCGTGCTGTCCTCCTCAGATTCTTCATTACTTTGTGCTAGTCTGGAAACATTTTTCACGATTATAAAAGCAAAGCACCTTACAATAAGGAAAATAACATTTAAATTAATTTGTTACCCTGGTGAATTGATTGGTCTGTTGGGATTAGAAAATTCTCTTCCTGAGTCAACATCAAATGGATCTGGAACAAGAAGGAAAAAATACATACATTGATGAAGAAACCATATTTTAATGGTCTGCCTTCATTTTCATTTTAAGAGAATATAATTGGCAGGGAGGGGAAAGCATAGGAGGTTTGGTTCATCTTTCTGATAAGTTTACCACAGTTGTTTGGTCAGAAACCAGGGGAGGTGAGAAACAACTGCCATGTCCTGCCCCCCCATTCTAGTCTTTTCTGCATGCCCCCCAAGGAGTTCAGTAGCTCTTCAGAGGCACTCAGACTGTACGCTTAGGTTTCTAAGGCTTTTGGTAAGAAAACACAGATGTTCTCAGAATGGTTTAGTTCTAAAAAGACTAGTTTGCTCATGTCTACTGAAAAGGGAGGTGTGGCTGTCCAGCTCTTGCTGAGTAAGTGTAGAGCTAGATTTGCTTTGGCTTACACAGCTGGGGAGAACTGTTACCTCAGAAAAGTCAAACAAGACATTGATGGCTTTGGTACTACAGGCCATCCCGAAAATAACACAGGAGTGTGAGTGGAAGTCTGCTTAATTTGGCATAATAGCATTGCCCCTTAAGAACTATCTTGTTTAATATAACAGTTTTCAGGCTTCCACCAAACAACAGGATGATTTCATTCAGCCTGGCATGTTGTGGCAAAGAGATCAAAGCTCAGAGAAACTCTGTACCTTCTCCTTACTCCTATTTTTATGGGACTTAACTACTGTGAAAGGAAAACAGTAATTAGGAGCATCTCTCTTCATATGTTCTTGATCATTTGATTTGGCTTTTTTTTGTGCTGTCTTGAATGAGACCAAGCACTTACCTGTTAATATAGCCTGAAATACTGGGACACCAGTTAGTTACTGGAAGAAGCTGGGAATAAACTACTCATTATAAGCTATTTTCATTATCTTTATGGGTCTAATTTTAAACATCTTGATTAGGTTTATGTATAACTAACGTGCTGTCAGACTGTATACCTATTTCTCTTACAGTCCTGAACTTCTACTCTTTTTACTCATACTCTGCTTTTAACATCTGTTTATAAAATAAGGAAGCATCATATTGGCTTTTTACTCCCTAGTTCTTCAATATCCTTAAGTTAATCAGGGTAGCTGCCCCACAGTTCAGCTGTGAATACAATACTATATGCATTAAATTGCTTCAGTCATTTTCATCTTTTTGAGTTGGAAAAAAAGAGGCAAACTTGCTTATAAGAAGAATACACAGTATAAAGACAGAGCAACACATCAACAAAGCTCTTATCTTCTACCTTGCCAATATTTTCATGATATTAAAGGAAAAGTGTGTGAGGAAGCTAGTTAGGAAAAGGGGAGTGTGGTGTGTCTGTATTTTTTCTTACCTATTTCTTCCTCTTCTGTTTCTTGGACACTGGCTAAAAACTCCCTTTCAACTCTCAGCACTTCTTCCTGGCAATGACAGGCTGCATATTTTTCCAAGAGATTTTTGTTCAAATCAATAAATGTCTTACCCCATTTAAATTTCCTTAGAAGAATGGTGGCTAGGTCTGGGAATCCTAAAACAGAAAATAAAAGATCATTTTTCTTTTCCAGTGTGAGGTTTCACTCAGCTTACAGGTTTCAGTGCATACCTATGTATCACTACAATAGTGAGATGCTTGCCAGCATTTTTTTTTTTTTTTTAGGGATTCAGACTTTTTAAAAGATTAAAAATCTTTTCAAATTTAACTTGAAATATCTGAATCAAAGAGTTCATAGTCTTTTAGTGAGTGTTACATAAAAATTCTCTGTACAGGCCATGAATGAGTCTAGCTCCCTCAGTCCTTCAGTGGGAGAGCAGTTGTACATACGGTGTTTTCAGAAGGTAAGATTTGTCCGCAGTATAGCAGAGCATGTCTCTTCAGTTGTCAAGAAAGTTCTGTGATTAGTTTGCAAAACCTCACAAGAGGAGGCAATTTCTTTTGTTCTTAACCAGAACCCACCCTATTAACAGATGGCGTTACCTCTCATTAAGACAGAGGTGCCTAAGGATTCACGTTTTGGCTTTTTTTAACAGTCTTTCTAACATGAAGTGCCGTCCTGACAAAGCCAGGATCATCAGTTTGTGTGTCCTGTTTAGTAGCTGATGTGAATACCCCACAGATACCTTGATACTACCAGATACGAGTACTTGGGAGAAAGCTAGACAATCTGATTCCAAACTCAACAAAGCGATGACCAGTGGGACAGCATTACGGTGTATCCTATTGCAGATCATCTCTTCTGATTTATTAAGGATATAAAAATTGCTGGTAGCATATTTGACATCAGACGTATCACAGCCTACCAACAATGCAAAAAGCTGCAGCGAAAGCTTCCACGCAGGACAGCTTGCATGGGCGACCATAGTTCACAGGATTTGCAGCCACCAGGTAAGGCAGCAGCCGCAGGTGGCTTCCTCTCATTCTCTTAAATGGAGTTTCTTCTAACTTGGCCCAGGAGCAATCTATGACTGCAATTCCGCTCTGAGCAATGACATGTCTGAGAAATGAAACATAATGGTATTTGAAAAATTGTTACCATTGTATTGATAAAGTTAAATAAATAAATTACAATTGCCACTTTATAGTGGCAACAGATTTGCATACTGTCCCCCCTTCTGTCAATTAAAAAAGTGTATGTTTTACAATGATCTAAAACGTAGATGCAATGGGAATGAATAACAATGTGCTTTTCCTCCAAACATGCAGGTGGCAAAAAAGGTTCGTCCATACATTTCAAACTGAAAGTGAAAAATTCTAGGTTTAAAAATGTGACAGAAGACTATGGTTAATAGTAGTGTTCACATTCTTAAAAGTACACCAGAGTTCAGATTTCGGTTCTCCGCTAGCTTCTAAAGTCTAATCTTTTCTCTAAGTAAATACGTCTTTATATTCTGCAGGCACATTTGAAGAAAACTCTCCACGTTTCCCTCACATAAGGGTTGTAGTTCCTGGACTGTGTTGCCTAGCCAAAGAACTTGCATATGGAATCATAAAAGATACAGTAGCTGCCGGCCCGTGATTCTGAACAAATTAACCTACAAACCATGTACTTTGATTTTTCATTGGGGTCTACAGCTGCCTTTTTCACCTGATACCAGCTGTGTAAAAATGTTAAGCCTGATATAATGAAATGGCTCTATTTCTCATGTTCACACATCAATGTACTACTGTAACAGGGAGGTCAGATTTATTCTGCAGCAGAGTTTTGGCCACGAATCAGCGGATCAAATGTTCTCCCTATATACCCTCGCTACAGCATCGGACCCGAGCGCTCCTCCTCACCGGCCCTTACCTGTCGGCTGCAGAGACGTACTCGGTAGCCAGCGGGCTGAGGACGAGGCCCGGGAACCGCTGGCGGAGGCGCAGGGGTCGGAGCAGCCCTTTTCGGGCCAGTTTCCTCCCGGTGCATTTCTTGGGATCGCAGTGTCCGAGCTCCCACATGGCTAGCGGGCACGGGAACTTCGCCTCAGGCGGGGGCCCCTCCGCGGCCCCCTCGCCCTCCAGGCAGGCTGAAAACAGCAGCCGTGCGTTAGTGCCCGGCAGGATCCGCGGTGTGTCCCCC